TCAACATGATTTCTTTTGCAGTGGAATTATTACGCTGTTAACATCAGCACAGCCTTTGCTGTATTTTCCTTAATGTTTAAGCCTGAAAAAAAAAGCATGTTGGTCTAGCAGATTAAAAGTGTAGTATCTCCATATGTAACCTCTGTATGTGCTGACAGGTTCTGGTTTGAAGATAAATACGTCATGTACAACAACATCAGATGCAGTTTGTGAACCACTGGAGGGATTCTACTGTCTGGAATCTACAGAGAACGGCTGTATGACAGCACAGAGACACACAAGCTGTCAACCAGGACAATACATCAGCAAGAAAGGTTGGTTTCTTTCTGCTGACTTTAAGGCTGTAACTATAGTTTAAGTGTTTAAAATATAGCAGGAAGCGGCAACGATCGGGATCCAAGCAAGTCGCGAAAAACGCAACATTTGACATTTTCAGAGGAGAAGAACAGATGCAGACGACTTTAGAGATTCAAGTGATGAAAGAATTTTGACTTGCAAACTTGATTTTTACAGCATCACCTTGAGATCAGAGAGTGTTATTATATGTACCTGACTACTGGGTGAAGTAGTCAGGTGGTAAAGTTTAAGTCAATTTAAGACTTAAACTTAATCAGTTTAAGTTGAGTCATCCAGTCACCATGAAGGCAGCTTTCAGATGATCACAGATTGAGTAAAAGCACTGAAGCTGATTTGTTACAATGTGCAGCACATGTAAAGAAACACAAACATAATTTAAATAGTAATACAAAACCCCCTGTAAAATCAAGATACTATCATAGAGATACACTGGCTCTATTCCATATAAATTTAAATAGTCTGAAAATGGGATGGGAATAATCCACGTATGGTTCGTTCTTTGATTATTTCCTTTCAAAACCGAACAGAAAAAACAAGTTGTTTTTTGTTTTTTCTGTTTTGGAAACCATAACAGAAATTACTGATTGTGATATTTAATAATGTCAGACTAATTTAGCTTTGTGTGTTACACTTGATAAATCTGCAGCAGATACACTTGGGTGATGGCGGTGCCTAATTAAATGTAGCCTAATTAAGATGAGCTTGAACATCAACATAAGTGCGTTACAAGTTGCCAAAGAATCCTCCGATTTTGAAGATTTCTTCAGTATCAAATTAATTCAGTGATAGTTGTCAGTACATCCAATGGTACACAGCAAACATGAACTGTTATTAGTTAATTTGTCGAACTGTAAATTAAGAAATCATACACGGATTAAAATGTTTGGGTAATTTTCATTCATTATTTAAATTGCACACCATGCTGAGCTCATTTGTTGGTTGTTACCCAAAATGTTTATCAAGGGTTTTTTCTCAAGGACTACAGCCAGGGTGACTACAGGGGAGCCAGGGGGAGCTTGACCCTCTTAATGAGACATGAGCTCCCCTGAATACATGATTTATGCTATTTTTGCCATTAATTTCAATTTTTCTGTATCATTATGGATCATGCGTGCACCCGCCCGAGAGGGTCTGGTAAAGTAATGGACACATGTAATATGTTTTATACTTTCTGTGAATATAATCCAATTAATCTTTTTTCCATCCTGTATAGACACCTTATTTTGAAAACCGGACGTTATCACACGTGTATCCTCGCGCTAAATCCGACCCAATTTGATAAATAATGTTGTATGTGGTTCTCATATCGCGTAACATGTAGACTTCACAGCCTCTCTTCAGGTAGGACTCTCATACTGCGACACTTGTCTTTATAAAGAGAGAAACTGACAGGATACAACTATCACTGAATTCATTTGATACTGAAGAAATCTTAAAAACCGAAGGATTCTCAGGCAACTTCTGAGGCGTTCCTCTTCCTGTCCTGTTTGCCAGTGAGTTACAAAATGAACGTGAGCCTGCTGTTTTTCTAAAAAAAACCCACTTATTTTGATGTTCAGGCTCATCTTAATTACATTTAATCAGGCACCACCATCCCAAGTGTATCTGCTGCAGGTGTAGCAAGTGTAACACACAAAGCTAAACTAGTCTGACATATTAAATATCAGAATCAATATTTTTCCATTTTGGTTTTAAGACAGAAAAAACAAAAAACAACTTGTTTAGTTGGTTTTTCCGACTCGGATTTGAAACAAAATAATCAAAGAAACAAACATACATGGATTGATGGGTTTGTGTTGTTTTTTCCAACATAAAAATTTTCCATTTGATTTGTAGGGTTAGGTCTACTTTTTCTTTTTTGTGGCGCTTCCAAATTGTTTTCATGAGATGTTTCAGCAGCAAATGGAGTTTGCTCAGTTGTCCTTTAATTTTTGTGTATCTGCTGATGCCAAGACCGACCCAAACTTATATTACCTACAGGACATATTGTTTTACATGTGTGTAGGATACATTGAACAGCTTTAGCTTCTTAATCTGACACATGATTTAAAAATAAAAATAACTTTAAGATTTACTGGGATAATGTAAACCCTAATAGTTACATGGACAACATAAGTTTAAGAGTAGACAAAGCAGAAGAATTCTCTCAATCTGTCAGGAACAGTTTTTTTTATTTTGGGGAAAAAAGTAGTTTTGCACTTTTTGTCGTTTTCATGCAGAGAAACTGCAAAAAAAGTGAAAGTTAAAAGTGGAATTTATGTAATTTCTTGACAGTTGTTAACTGACATCAACATATTAGCAGTGTTATATTTGATTTTATTGTATATTACATTATAGCACTAAAACTCTTGACATTTGAATAGTTCAAGTTTTCTCTCAAACAGGGGTCAGTTTGATTATGAGGCTGCCGAGGCTCCTTCTTTACAGTGAATCAAATCCCATCTTGCTCTGTAATTATGAATGATAAAAATGAAATGATTTAGAAAAGAGCTGCAATAGAACATCTCTTCAAAACCTCAAAGAGAATGCCAAGATTATTTTGTGACATGTATTTTTTTAAATCCACTGAAATTAAATTATGTTTGATGAAATAATAATGTCATATCAGCCTTTGATCGCTTCATAATATGTTTACTAAACTAGTTTCATTATCTCTAATCTGTGTTTTTACAGGAACAGCATTCACAGACACAAAGTGCTCTGACTGCAGCAGTGGAACATTTTCAGATGGGACATTTATGTCCTGTCTGCTGCACACACTAAGAGAAGCTTCACATCAGACATCTGAACTCTTCCAGCAGCAGTGAATTCATGGTTTCCTACAAATGTTGCTGTAAAAATGTCCCTCTATCATTCCAGATGTGAATCAATAAACCTGCAGCTGCTGAAAGCAGGAACTGCTTCAACTGATGCTGAATGTGGAGAACAAAGTTCAGACATGACAGGAGTTGTGATCGGTGCTGCTGTTGGGGGGATTCTTTGTTATTAATATCTGGATCTGTAGCTATGGTACCTTTCCAGAAAAAAATGGCGTTTTAGAAATGAATCCACTTTACTGGAACAATAGTTAACCTAAAGTCAACAACCAGCCGAACTGAAAATACTGCAGCCTCTCAGACCAGAGGATGCTGTATCATATAAGCTATGGATATAGGCTATTTAAAATAATTTTAAAAAACAAAGCAGGTCCCTGCAGATTTTAACTAATCGCGTGTTCATAACAGCAGCCAAGAGTATGATTTTTTTTTTTAATGCCACTGTCAGAGATCAGAAAAATCAAGCAAGTGTCTCAAATTTTGAACTAACATTTTGCAAATGCATTTATAAGAGAAGCATTCAGTGCTTTTACAAAACACAAAACGTTGATTAAGCCACTCTCTCCTGCTGATGGATACTTCACTGGCAGAAAACGTTAGCTGCCGGAGTTTATTTTCACAGGCTCAGTTTCACGTTGCTGTGCTGCTTTAGCAGATGCTTCAATACAAAATTGTTCACAGTTGAAAGCGTTTTGCTGGTCGCACAGAGTTTACAACAGAAGACCATGTTCTTTGCATCTCTGAGTGTGACACAGCTCGGCCTAATGGCAGAACGTTACTTACAGCTGTGGAAAGAACGCCTCTCTCCTTCTTTCTCCATTCTTCCTTTAGTTTATTGGCTAGCAGCTGACTTGAACAACACAAGTTCTGGTTCCGCTGACCTGCAGTGCGGTTGCACATGATATATTAACATGCGAAATTAAGTTTATTACTGAGTCAACAAGAATTTACAAACAATGCCTAATCTACCTTGATTACAGTTGTTCACTACAGTCTTCTGACCGGCTACCAAAGCGCTTTGACCCCCTGGCTGCATGCGCATCCAGCAGTGTTTGTATACAAGAAACCAGTCTGAGTCCATTTTACTGTTATGTAGAGTAGAAAGTAGAAATGATTTTTCTTCTAAGTTTAAATAAACACTCATTTATCAAAATTTCACAAAACAGAAACATCTGAATGGGGTGAATATCCTGCACACGGCGCTACAAGCTGAACATGTCTTCTATGGAAGTGCTGGTCTACAGTCTGGATCATTATTTCACACAGATGGTAGTGTACAGAGACTGAAGTCAGCCTGGAATAACAACTTGGATCAATCTTGAATTGTATTCAACTCTCTGTATCTCCCACAATTTTCACTCTACATATGTATTTTTTTCACAAGTTGTAGGAAAACCTGTTCTGTCGCTCATGTCCAACTTTGAAAGAAAATAGACTTTCACAGCTGGTACAGTTGGCTTGAGAGGAGAGAGGATCCCACTCAACTGCATAGACTCCCATACTAAAAAAGTGCTGCAGTTTCAGGAAGGAGTCAGAAAGGTGGACATTTCTATACTGGCTGTGAAGCCATTTTGACAGTAGACAACACAATCTTGGACATCATCTTCATGAGGATCTTATCTCTCTAACAATGTTTACTTTGGCACTGAGAGTTACGGTCTGTTCAGTAGGACCAGGAGAAGCTGAGCTGTGCTCCAGGTTAAAACTCTGCTGTATAAGCCTGTCTAAGTCCGATAGCTTTCAGCATCATCGTGGCAACCTTAGATTGCAGGCTCAGCACATAGCTGATTGAGATGATGTAATGCTGACAACTCAGTAAACATGGCACTACATCCTCCAGCACCTGGACTCTCCAGGAAACAACATCAGGATCCTGTTTGTGGACTCTGCCTTCAACAACAATTCCAGCTCTGCTGCAGGACAAGAGGAAAAGTCTTTATTACAAACGAAACTAAAAGCATTTGTCACTTATTTGTTTGTTAATGAACCAAATTAATTTGGCAAAATAGCATAAATCAATAACATTATACTATGACTTTAGATATTTACGAAAAAGAAATATTCTTTATGAAAAGATTGATATTCTTGTAAAAGAAAAGCCTATTTGAACCTCTTTATCTTTTTTAAAAACATTGGGCCGACATTCACAAATACAACATTTCCAAAGAAATCTAATATTATATTGAAGAATTAAAAACTATTTTTATTGAATGTCTTTGTTGCTTGTTATAGGGGATCATAGGTGATCCCCTATGTATCTAGTTGTGCCATGTTCTATAATTCTTTCATTTAATGTAGGCTATTTTGTTTCGGATGAAGATTTTCGTATATGATTCAATAAAAACAACAGCTGTATTGTCTATCAGACAAGAGCATTTTTTATTAAACACAATACAGCATAACTTGAGCTGTGTTGTTAACCTGTGAATGGTGATATGAAAGTAGTGGAAGTGGGATTTTCGGAATTTAAAAATCCTACATTTTATCCAGCAATGTCACAAGGAACTCACATTTGAAAGAAAGGTCTCCCATTGTGCAGCAAAGGGTGTTATAACACTTTCAACAGCCAACATCGGTGCTCACTCTGCATTGGAGGTGTTAACAACCCACTACCACTTTGCCCTCATTGGTTTGGGATGGCACTCAATGTGGTGGACCTTCTGGATGAAAGCGCAAACAGATGGAGGTAGGTAGGGGAGAGGGAGTAGCACGCATTTTCGGAAAGGCCTATGTGATTTGATGGTGCCATTTGCAAAATGCAGGAAGAGAGAGAAAATAGCGAGGGCCGAAGAAGAGACAGGCCGAACGTCTCAGAAGTATCTCTCTGTACAGTGTGTCTATAGTAAAAGAACAACAACATTATTCCAGCTCACTGTCCAGCAGCAAGCAGCACATGAAGATCGGAAAACATGTCTGACTCCAGGACCATCAGCACTGGTTCCCCTCAAGGCAGTGTTCTTTCCCTTCTGCTCTCCTCCCTTAACAGCTGCACCTCCAGTCACCAAACCCACCAAGCTCCTGAAGTGTGCAGATGACAACCTTCACTGGCTCATCTCTTGTGGGATCAGTCTGGGAGATTGACCATCTGGGGTCTTGGAGCAGCCAGATCAATCAGGACCTCAATGCACTGAAGACAGTGGAGATGGGTGTGTATACCTTGAAGAGCCCAGCCGCACTCATCCCCATCAATCTGTGCAACTCAACACTATGGAGTCATTCCGCTCACCCAGGACTTCCAGGGGAGTTGATACGCTTAGTCACCTAATTACACGATTTCAAACTTTTTCAAAGTTTCTAAATATTTCAGGTCACACTATATACAACACTTGGGATTTTCTCACATTTCTTCAACTGCTTCATGGCTTCAGCTTCAACAAAACTTTCCACTCTTTCATAAATTGTACCATTCCACTTTATTAAAGACAGCAATTCAGTTTAGCGCAAGCCATTCAGCAGACAGCATTCCACCCCAATTTCTTCAGAAATTGCTTTTCTAGTTTAGTTATAAAGTTACACTGCTTTGAGAGTGGGGATGTGTGTTTACAGTAGTTTAAGCTGTCATTGATTGCTTTGCACATTCCATGGTTGTGCTCTGTAAGTTAAAAACAGGTTACAGCTTTATTGTGACCACGTAACTTTACAGTTTATTTAGTTAACTTTATACTGGTTTGAGAGTCAACAGGGTTTGTTGACTTACAGTAGTTTATAAGCTTAGAATTAGTCATTAATTGTAGACACATTGTATTAGGCTGCATGGTTGTGCTCTGTAAGTTAAAAACAGATTACAGGTTTATTGTTGATTATGCAACGTCACAGTTTTATTTAGTTAACGTTACACTGGGTTTAAGACTCTATTGCACACTTCCCATTCCTCAGCGTACAGATCTATTTAAAATTTGGATTCAAATTTGATGGAGGTGGGTACGAAAGAGTATTTAAAACAGTTCAATTTGTTTTTTGGGATTCTGTACCTTCTGCCAGAAGGCAAGAGCTCGTATCCGTTTGAAGGATGGGACAGGTCCGACAGTACTCTCCGCGCCTGCCTAAGTACAGACTGCTCATAGATGGACTGAAGGGAGATCTTCAGATAAGCCGTCAATAATTGCATTGCACATTACATGGTTGTGCTCTGTAAATTAAAAACAGGTTACAGTATTCCTTACACCTAAGCAGTTTTATAAGGAGCCTGATTGAACGCAGCAGGTGATAAAACATTCGTATAACCATGAGAGACTTGAGACTTGACTTGGACTCAAAGACTTGTGAGCATCTCTGGCAGAAATTATAGCGAAACCACTCACATCTTTATCTTTCCATTTACACAGATAGAGTGTTTATTTCATGTAATAGGCTTACGTCACGTCATTACTGAAAGCTGGTGATCCGTTTGACACAAATAATATAGACCTATCTGAAATCTTTCGGTTTAGCAAAGGTTTGGAGATTTTAGTGTCTGATCAATTAAAAACTTTTGCGGTTTCACAAAATATCCTTAACGACATGCAATCTGGTTTTAGATCTGGCCACAGTACAGTTTCTGTACTTTAAAAGTTATTGATGACTTAAAAGCGGCAATTGATAGAAAGTTGTTCTGTATGGCTGTGTTCATTAACCTTACAAAGCCATTTGATACAGTAGATCCTTCCATGTTAATCAAAACCCTGTTGAATATTGGTGTTGGGCACAGAGCTGAAAATTGGTTTCAAAGCTATCTCTGAACGGACACATGGAAATGTAACATCTAACCCTGTTGTTCTAAAAAGTGTGTCCCACAAGGATCAGTTTAGGGTCCTTTGTGTTTTATCATCTATTTAAACAATATCTGGTAGTAAGATTAAACACTCACAGTATCATTTGTATGCTGATGATACAATTATGTATTCTTGTGCTCCTACAACGAGATCACCAGTGCAAATTTGTAGTCAGACTTTGCATCATTACAATCTGCCCTTTGATTTGAAGCTACTTTTAAATGCACAAAAGTCAAAGGCAATGATATTTGCACCTACTAATACGAACGTCCCTGCTCTTTCTATTAACACATTGCAAGATGAAGCCATTGGACTTGTTGATACTTATAAATACTTGGGTATCTGGCTGAATGAAGGTTACCTTTAAAAAACACATTGAAGCTCTTGCTACAAACTTAAATTTACCCTGCCATTTTATATAGATTGAAATCTTGTTTTTAGGACTACACGGAAAACAGTGGTTGCAGGATTATTCCTGTCTCAGCTAGATTATGGTGATATTCAATTAGCATGTCCATCAACAACAACCTTGACCAACTTTATCATGCGGCTCTCTGGTTTATCACAAATGCTGGCTATGAGACACATCACTGCATTTATACAGTATGGTAAATTAGTCATCACTCAAACTGCACAGGATGCTACACTGGAACATTTTTATTTCTAAAGCTATTTT